ATGATGATTATTAGAGGAATCTGGTCCCCTTCTCTGACTGTGTTATGACTACTATAATAGTCATTAAAAGTGAGCTTTACGAATTCTGATTAAAATTCCCAAACTAATCAGTGTCAATGTATACGCCTGATTGGTATACACCGAAACTTGCATGTTATCAAAGTGCTTTTTGTTTACTTTTTTCTTTCTTTAATGCTATTTTCCATATATATCTATTTTCATACAGAACATTATAATATCTAATAAACAATTTCTAGCATTGCTAAATAAGAGAAATTAGAAAAAAGATGGAATGAAGTGAAACGTAAAATCATTAATATTCTATCAAAAATTATGTAAATAGGTGAAATATTTTCATACGTAAATATAATTATTAAAAACTTCACTAAAAATGTCCAAAAAAAAAAAACAAAACAAAAACAAACAAACTTGGTAAGGAAATGAGAGAGGTATGCTTTAGATACAATGGCGCAGTGGTTAATTGACGGTGCTACTGCCCAAATAACTTCGTGGTTCAATTCTTGTGCATTGATAGATACATTCATTGAGCCAATCCTTAACAGATAACATTTCATGTACAATGGTGACCAAATGATAGGACTGAGCACGGAGGAACTACTTTTTGTTTACAGGTAAGATTTCTGAAGTAAGGTTAGTGTTAGCCCAGAAAGATGATATCCGGATAACTGGATAAAATTAGCCTGATAAGAATTGATGATTAACCCCAAAAAAGATGATGTTCGGATAACTGGGTATAGGTATAATTACCAGGATAAGAATTGATGATAATAAAGAAAGATGATGTTAGGATTGTTGATACGATATGAAATTTGGACCATTTATTTCAGGAAACATTTTAGGCAAGAAATAATGACTTATTTATCATATGATATTAAATGACATTTCTTGTCATTTGTTTTAAAAAATCATTTAAAATTCTTTCCTCTAAAAAAAAACAATTATCATAAAATAATTTTTTAGTTATCAATCCGTTCATGAAGCAATTATTTATAGAGTTCTTTCGGTTTTTTTTTTTTAAATTTGTTTCATATGCTAAACTGTGATAGTATAACATGTTTTGCATGCATTAATAAAACCTCAGTTAATCACTGTTAATCTTTTAACGATTCATACCTGAATTGCTCATCTTTAACTTTTATATTCTCTTCTCAAAACTTCGATAATGATTATACTATGTATTTATTAACTAACTACGTTATCACTATAATAAAATACCTCTAGTAATTTACTGTTAATCTTTAGCGATTCATACCTGAATTGCTCACCTTTAACTTTTATATTCTCTTCTCAAAACTTTGATAATGATTATACTATGTATTTATTATGTATTAATGATTATACTATGTATATTTATTAACTAACTACGTTATCACTATAATAAAATATCTCTTGTAATTTATGAGTCATTTTGAATTTGCATAAAAAATAACGAAAAAAAAAAGCTGAAATATTATTTAACAGCAATCTCCTCTAAATAATTGAGCAAGTGATGATTTGCTAAAAAAAATAAAAAAAAGGAAGCGGATAAAAATAGAAAAAAAACAACCCATCCTTATAAACAAAACTAAACTAACATCAAAACCAAGAAATACCAAAACCAAACATTAAAGGATAATAACTATATTCCATTTTATGAAACTTACGAAACTTTAAAAAAATTATATTTTATAAACCAACAATACCTAAAATTGTTATATTTAATATACTAAAAATACATCTAAACAACTTAGAACTAAAAAAATTAGTTAAACAAATAAAAAATAGACAACAAAAATAAAATAAAGTACAAAAAAGATTAAAATAATTAAAAGGATAATCTGTAGGATGATAAAAAAAAAAAAAGTAAAGCGACAAATGCGCATCAAAATAATATACAACATAATTATTAAGAATATATTAATATGAAAAAGCAAATTTTAGCAATACAAATATGGCAATACTTTTAGTCGAATCAAATGAAAATTGAAAACATTCACCATTATTAGCTAGAAATGCATAATTTTGAAGAAAAAAAAAACAAAAACTAAAACAAAAACGTCGATAGAATTTTACAGTAGAAAAAACAAAGAGAAAATATACGAAGTGATGATTAGACGGGTAATAAGATACCGTTAAATTATGTAAAATTCATCAAATTTGATTCCCATTTTAATACCCCAACATTTAATGAAGCATTCAATAGGGTTAATAATTCACTTCACTTCCTAGTTATAAACCAAAAATTCACCAAATTAACGATTGATTAAATTAACAAAAATTTTCCACTTCAATTTACTATATACCATCATAAAAATAGAAAATTGGCAGCTTCTGTTCTTCACTTTTTTTTTACAGGTTTTCAAATTATCTCATTTCTATCCTAACTAGATCAGTTTATGTCTTATCTATTTCATTAAGGATTTAATGATATAATTAGATAAAATGAATTCTATTGGATTTCCTTTATTTGTCACAGAGCGGGAAAACGAAACAAACAAGGATGATATGCTAATCCAGTTAATCAAGTTCGCCGCTAATTGCTTTCTAAAATCACTTTCTCCAATTTTTTATATGTACTCATTTTAGATAAAAAATTAAAGCAAACGGATGGCATTATTGGGCCAAGCAGAAAATGCATTCTACTTTATCTTATTTTTTTTTTTTGAGTGATACTTTAGTAAGAAATTTTTGTTGAAGTATCGGCTATAATTTCGAAGTTTATATTATGACAATTAAGTAGCTAATTACTAACGCTTATATCTACAATGAAAGTATAACTAAAGGAATTCGACAATCAGCTGGATTAACAAGGATCCCTTGAGAGTGATTTTCACGGTGAAAGACGCTTAATCAACCACTCCGTTTCATCAACTCCTTTTTCAAATACAATACGATCATGTATCCGATCAGTTTGACCTTGCCAAAATTCAAAATAGTGTGGACGCAATCTATAGCCACCCCTAAACAACCGCCATTCATTAATTACTGTGATTATATCGATGAAGATAACGCAGCACATCCTATTCATCGAATTCTTAAGAATGTATAGAAAGAACTGAGACCCATTGTAAGAATGAAATATTGAATAAAATTCTTACCAGTCTTCCGGTCTAGTGATTGCTTCTTCACCTTTTTCGGCGACAAGTTTCTCCAATTCCACTTTCTTGTCTTCCAGATACTACAGAAAGTAAGTGAAGAATGTCAAATTGAATAAAGAAGCTGACAAGTTAATTCAAATTAAACCGAATTCACCGCATACTCAAAACTTTGAAATTAAGTCCAGAACTGGAAACGGTCGAAGTAAATGTCAC